CGGCGCTGCGGAGCGAGGTCGAGGCCCTGCGCATGGCGGCGCAGGACGCCGCCGCCGCGGACGTCGCCGCGGCGACGCGCGCGGCCGCGGCGGCCGCCGCGCGGAGCCGCGACGAGATCGACGCGCTCCGGCGCGCCGCGGCCGCGGACGCCGCCGCGGCCGAGGCCGCGCGGGCCGACGACCGCGACCGCGCCGCCGAGCGCGACGCGGCGGCGCGCGCCGCGCTCGCGCGCGAGGGCGCCGCGCGCGAGGCCGCCGAGGCCGCGCGCGAAACCGCCGAGGCGGAGAAGCGCGATCTCGAGGCGTCGCTCGCGGCCGCGGACGCGCGGAAGACGTCCGAGCTCTTAGATCTGGAGGCGAGGCTCGCGGCGCTCACGGAGTCCGCGGCGGCGGAGTCCGCGGCGCGCGACGGCGAGCGGCGCGCCGAGGCCGCGTCGCTCGAGCGGTCGCTGCGGACTCTGAAGGCGTCGCACGCGGACGAGGTCGCGGCCCTCGAGCGGCGCGCCGGCGACGGCGACGCGCGGGCCCGGGACCTCGAGGCGCGGGCCGCCGAGGCCGCGGCGCGCGAACAGAGCCTCGCGTCGTCGCACGCGGACGCGGTCGCCGCGCTCCGGCGGCGCTGCGACGACGGCGACGCGCGCGCCGACGCGCTCGAGCGGCGCCTGGAGGAGTGCGGGTCCGAGGCCGCGGCGCGCGCGCGCGCGTTGGAATCCTCGCACGCGGCGACGCTCGAGTCGCTGAACCGCGAGCACGCGGCCTCGGAGCGGCGCCTCGAGGAGCGTCGCGCGGCGCGCGAGAAGACGCTGGTCTATCAAGCCAGCGTCAGAGATCCCGGAACAAATACTCAGGTCAAGGTTTGTCAGCTTTGGCAGACGTACCACTCGAAGTGCGGCGTCCGTGATACTGTCGCAGTTCTCCACGACTAGTTCTTCTAAATCTCCACAATTGTTCGCTATCGCAGTGATAGCAGCATCGGTGATAAGATTCCCGCTGAGATCGAGATGTTTCAACGCGGTACATTTCTGCACCAGCTCGACCACTCCCGCGTCAGAGATCAACTCCGATTCTTCCAGGCAGAGCCGATGCAGCTTCGGCAGATGCTGAGCTATCGCGCGGAGCGCATCGTCCGTGAGCCTCAGATTCGAGAGCCTGAGCTTCACAAGGCCCGGGTACATGCGCACCATTGCCGCGACCGCAGCGTCAGTGACGTCCCCGTACCACAATGAAATCGAACGCATGCTCGGACAGTACGCCATCAAAGCCAAAATGAGTTCGTCGTGTTTGATAACCGTGTTAGTCGACGAGATCACTGCATGAAGCCCGGTGCAGCGTTTCAAAAGCGCCGTGACGGTCTTTGCGTCTATGCGTGGCTGGTTACTCCCTTCGCCAAACTTCAGCCCCCGTACGCGACAGCACGCGCCGCTAAGGAGCTTGGTGCTCGTCAGGGCCAGCCGTATCACGTCCGCGATGTCAAGGTCCGCCACGAGTTCCTCGCCCACCGCATCGAAGACGCGCGCGAAGCTCGACCGTCGCGGCTGCGCCATCTCGGGCGAGGCGCGCGCGCGGACGGCGCGGGCTTGCAGATGGCGAGGCGCGCGCACGGCGAGGCGCAGACGGCGCGGCGCGCAGACGGCGCGGCGCGGCGCGCAGAGGGCGCGGCGCGCGGACGGCGCGGCGCGCAGACGGCGCGGGGCGCGGACGGCGCGGCGCGCGGACGGACGGTGCGGCGCGCGGACGGCGCGGCGCGCAGACGGGCGGTGCAGCGTAGCACGCGGGCGGCGCGACGCACAGGCGGTGCGGCGGCGCGCGCGCAGGCCGCTCCAAAGCCAGACTCGAGTTCCAGACTCGATCGATGAGGAGCAGAGCATGTTGAGCTCGCCTTGAACCGAGTGCACCCAGCGCGGCTGCCTGATCTGGCGGCGTTCCAGCGTGGAAGCAGCGTGATTCCAGGCTGCCATTGCGATGACAGCCCCGTACGAGCCCTGGCTCTGGCTCGCCGCGCGACTTCGCCGCGGCCCTACAGGCGCGGACCGCGAACCGGGGGACCGAGCCCGGCGGGCCCTACGCGGCCGTCGTCGACGCCCTCGCGGCGGGGCGCGCCGCGGGGAGCTAAGGCTAGTCCCTAGTTACCACGCCATCGAATGCGTCCGTGAGTTTCGGATTGATCGCGATGAGCGCGTCGACGGCGGCTCGCGTGATGTATGCTTGCGATTCGTCGTCGTTGAAAGTCAGACGCTTCAGCTTTTTGCAGCCACGACCGAGCGCATAGAGTGCCTCATCTGTGAGGATGCAATTTGGTGCGTCGACCCAAAGTTCGTGCAGATTCGGAGCCCGCCGAGCGATCGCAAGCACCGAAGCCACAGTGATACCAGTCCTGTCAAAGTCCAACTGGGTCAGGTGAGCGCAGTGCTGTAGAAGCGATATAATCGATTCGTCGGTGACTTGAGAGTTTTCAACTTGCAGTTCCTCAAGATCGGGGCAATTCCTCGCGACCGCAGAAACGGCGGCATCAGTGATGGAAGTGCTGCGGATACTAAGTGACTTTAGCGCGGTGCATTGCCGAGACAGTTCTATCAAGCCAGCGTCAGAGATGGCAGGACAATCATCCAGGTAAAGCTTTGTCAGCTTTGGCAGAGTTACCACTTGAAGTGCGGCGTCCGTGAGATTTTCGCAGTTCTGCAAGACTAGCGCTTCTAAATCTCCACAATTGTTCGCTATCGCAGTGATAGCAGCATCCGTGATAGAAGTCTCGCAGAGATTGAGAGCTTTCAACGCGGTACATTTCTGCGCCAGCTCGATCACTCCCGAGTCAGAGATCCCCCTCGATGCTTGCAGGTCGAGAAGATGCAGCTTCGGCAGATGCTGGGCTATCGCGCGGAGCGCACCGTCTGTGAGCTTCTCGACATTCGCGAGCCTGAGCTCCACAAGGCCCGGGTACATGCGCACCATTGCCGCGACCGCAGAATCAGTGAGTGTGCGGCTGTTGATCAAGCCAATCGATCGCAGGCTAGGACAGTACGCCATCACAGCAAAAGTGAGTTCGTCGTGTTTAATGGGCGTTTCATTCCACGAGGTCACTGCATGAAGCCCGGTGCAGCGATTCAAAAGCGCCGTGACGTTCTTTTCGTCCATATGTTTTCTCCATTCTCCGATCTCCAGCCGCCTCACGCGACAGCACGCGCCGCTAAGGAACTTGGTGCTCGTCAGGGCCAGCCGTATCACGTCCTCGATGCGAAGGTCCGCCACGAGTTCCTCGCCCACCGCATCGAAGACGCGCGCGAAGCTCGACCGTCGTCGCTGCGCCATCTCGGCGCGGCGCGCGCGCGGACGGTGCTGGCTTGCAGATGGCGCGGCGCGCGGACGGCGCGGCGCGCGGACGGCGCGGCGCGCGGACGGCGCGGCGCGGCACGCGGGCGGCGCGACGCACAGGCGGTGCGGCACGCGGACGGCGCGGCGCGGCACGCGGAGGCAGACGCGCGCGCAGGACGGCCTCCAAAGCCGACTCGATCGAGTGCCAAGGTCAGCGGAGCAGTGCATGTTGAACGACCTAAATTGAGTTTCCTCACCGCGGCGCCTGATCTGGCAGCCTTCCAGCGTCGACGCCGCGTGCTGCGCTTGCAATGGCAGCCCCGGTCGAGCCCTGGCTCTGGCTCTTCCCGGTCGCCGCGTCCGCGGCCATCGTCGCCGCGGACTGGGCGCGCACGCCGGCGGGCTCGTGGATGCCCCTCATGATCAAGGCCTTCCTCCTCTCCGACGCCGCCTACCTCGCCCGCGGCGGCGGCCTGCCGCGCTTCGTCCTCGTCCTCGAGGCGACGCTGCTGCTCAGCGTCGGCTGGTGGCTGCGCACGGCCTACGCAAAGAAGCACTGGGTGCCCGAGGAGCTCGCCGGCGACAACCACCACATCGTCGTCTTCGCCGGATCGCTCATGCTCGCCGTCTCGGCGACGCTCGTCCTCACGCTCGCGGCGACGAGCGCATCCCGCTCGTCGCCCTCGCGGGCTACCACGTGAGCTGCAGCGCCCTGTACGTCGTCGAGGAGCGGAACCCGCGCGACAAGAAGGCGCCGAAGCACTACGTCCTCGCCGCGCTCGCCGCGGCCGCCGCGGTCGCCGCCTGCCGGCGCCCGACGTAAGAATTTTTTAGTCCCCTTCCCTAGCGGCCGGTAGCCCGTCGCCGGCGAAGACGGCGGCGACGGCGACGATGACGAGGACGACCACGCAAACGCCCATGGTCATGGCCCAGAGCACGAAGGAGCAGCAGAGGAAGTTCTCCTCGCCCTCCGTGCGCGGGTTCGCCGCGTGGGAGTCGCAGCCGAGGCAGGGGATGCAGGACTGGTCCTCGCAGTCGCCGAGGTAGCCCCCCGGCCCGCAGGACGTGCGGCCCGCGGCGTGGTCGTGGTCCGCCGGCGGCCGCGTCGTCCGCGCGACGCGGCGCGCCCACCACCGCTGGAAGGGCTGGTGGACGAGCTTCGTGACGACGACGGCGCCGAAGACGACGGACGTGAAGACGCCCGTGTACATCCAGGGGTAGAGGCGGCAGTAGTGCTCCTGCGCGAAGTTGTCCCAGTCGTCGACCTCCTCGTCGACGATGTCCTTCCAGATCTGGCAGTGCGAGTCGCGGTACGTCTTTAGGTCAAAGACGGGCCCCCACTTGTGGACCTTGTTCCGCACGACGAAGAAGGCCCACTTGATGATGCCCGCGTGCAGGATGTAGACTGCGTAGGAGTACTGGCCAAAGTCCGCGAGGATCGGGTACGAGAGTATTTTCGCGAAGCGGCTCCGCGTGCGGCAGAGGCCGAAGACGAGGAGCGCGAGGAGCGGCTCGCCCATGAAGCGCACCGTGAGCGCCCAGAAGACGCCCCAGGTGTAGGCCATGAACAGGAAGAGGAGGCAGATGCCGTCCGTGACCCTGCCCCAGGATTCGGCCTGCGCGTCGCTGAGCTCCATGTGGAGCACGGCCTGGCCGACGATGACGCCGATCTTGAAGGTGCCCATCTGGATCGGCGGCCACATGTGCATGATGAAGAAGCTCATGGCGATGGTGACGCAGCGCACGGGGAAGACCAAGGCCTGGATCGCCGCCGCGCGCCGCGCGATGTCCATCGGGGTCCCCACGGGCCGCGCCTTGACGGACCGCTGGAACCAGTTGAAGAGCACCAAAAAGAAGATCTGGGACGTGAGGTACCAGCAGTGGGTCATGACGAGCTGGCCCTCGCGGAAGCCGACGATCCACCCGCCCTGCATGACCAAAACAAGAAACCACCAGACCCAGGCCAGCGTGACGCTCTCGCAGGGGATGAGCTGGATGGGCGTCTCGATGGCCAGCCCGACGAGATAGACCGGAAAGAGGGGCACGGCGCCGGCCTTGAGCATGTTCCACGTCGACGACCGCACCTTGTCGTGCTGCATCGAGACCGACATGCCCGCGAGGAGCATGAAGACGACGGTTCGATAGAACTGCGACATGTCGCCGTAGCCGACGCCGTCGGTCCAGGCGTGCGCCGGGCAGTAGGCCCGCAGGTGGCCCCGGACGATCCAGAGGCAGAGCACCGCGCGCAGCCCCGCGATGGCCTCCATGTTCACGGCCTTCGCGTCCAGGGTCTTCGCGCCGCCGCGCCGCGCGTCCACGAGATCCGCCAGCTCCTGCACCGTCGGGTTCCGCGCGACGTCGCCGTCGGCGACGGCGTCGTCCCCAAAGGTCTCGCGGAGCTGGCGCGCCAACGTGATGCCGTTGAGGCTGTCGAGGCCGACGGACGCGAGGCGGTCGCCGCCGCCCGCGCGGACGCCCGTGACCCGCAGGATCGCGCCCACAATCAACGCCTTCGAGCCGCCGGAGGAGCAGGGCGCGGCCTCGGCCGCGGGCCTGTGTGGAATTCAACCACTGGTTTGGGTGGTCCTGACCAAACTTCAGAATTCTCTAGCTCGATCAAATCGAAGTCGATTCGGCTGATTTTTGGACGAATCGATTGCTCTCGTCGAGTTCTCGAAGCACAGCCGAAGAACTTGCGTCAAAACTGTCGCATATGCGCACATTGAAGTCGGGTTGAAGATTTGAATTCCACACAGCCGCGGGCTCCGCGCGGACCGCGTCGTCGATCATCGCCGCGTAGGCGCGGCACGCGGCGCGGTCCCGCTTCCCGCGGTCCGTGAGCGGCAGCGCGCGCAACGCCACGACGCTCCGGGGCACCATGTAGGCGGGCACGTGTCCGTCGAGCTCGCGCCGCGCGCGGCCGCCTAAACCCGGCGGCGGTGTGTCGCCGCAGCCGAGGAAGACGACCAGAGCATCGTCGACCACGACGGCGCACGCGTCGGCCACCACCGCGCCCGACCGCCGCGCGGCGGCGACGCAGTGGTGCTCGACGTCGCCGAGCTCGATGCGGAAGCCGCGGATCTTGACGACGTCGTCGCTTCGTCCGCGGTGCACGAGCCGGTGGCGCGCGCCCGCGACGACGAACGCCCCGGCCGGGTCGCCGGGCGCCGCCGCCTCGAGCACGGCGAGGTCCGCGCAGTCGTAGAGCGGGCCGCCGGCCGCGTCGCGGAGCTTGCGCGCCGTCGCCGCGGCGTCGCCGACGTAGCGCGCGAACAACTGGGGCCTGGGCAGCAAAAGGGTGATTCAACGTCGCTTCAAAGTGAGTGTTCCGCGCGCGCGCGTTCCGACAAAAGCATCCACGCTTCGAGGCCGTTCCAAGAGATGATCGCTCGTCCAAAAATCAGCCGAAACGAGTGGAAAACGGCCGAGATATGAGCCTTTGAAGTTGGGAATTTCGCTCTCTTTTGCTGCCCTGGCTGGGGCCCGCGGAGGTGCAGGTTCCCGACGGCGCCGCCGGGCGCCGTCCGCCCGTCGCCGTCGACGACCAGGGGGACGACGCGGCCGTCGAGCGGCGCGCCGAGGGGCAGCGGGCCGTCGGCTTCCGCGCCGTCGAACGCGAGCTGCGCCGCGACGTCGAGAAAGAGCGAGCTCGACGCCTCCGTGGACCCGTAGATGGAGACGAGGCGGGCGAGATGCGGGCATGCGTCCACGGCCCGCCGGCAGAGCGCGCGGTCCGGCGCCTCGCCCATCAAGACGACGACGCGGACGTGGTCGGGCAGCGGGCCGACGTGGTCCAACGTGCCCCGCAAGAGGCTCGGCACCATCAACAGCCGCGCGCAGCGGATGGTCTTCAAAACGTCCCAGAAGGCCGCGAGGCCGAGGTCGCCGACGTCGGGCAAGATGTGGAGCACGGGCCGCCCGGACGGGCAGAGGAGCGGCTCCAGCAGCTCGTAGAGGGAATGGGTCGTCGTGCAGTGGCTCTTATTGACGCAGCTCTCCGAGTCCGCGTAGGGCAGCGACGCCCAGGTCCAGTCGAGGCGGTGCTGGAAGGAGTGTTCGCGCCGCTCGATGAGCTTCGGGGCGCCCGTGGACCCGGAGCTCGACAGGATGACGCCGCCGCCGGCGGAAGACGGCGGACACGCGGCGTCGTCGGGGTGGACCTTGGCGCCGCCGCCCTTCGGCGACGCGTCGCGCCAGCCGTCGGCGTCGAGGTCGCCGAGGGCGACGTCGGGCGCGTCGAAGCCCGGCGGCGGCGCGTCGCGGTCGCGGACGACGACGCCCGCGCCCGACGCCGCGGCGATCGCCGCGACGCGGGTCCCGGGGTAGTCCGGGGCCAGGGGCACGAAGACGCGGCCGAGCCGGCTGCAGGCGAGGAGCAGGGCCGCGTAGTCGGCGCCCCGCGCGCCGTAGAAGGCCACGGGCGAACCAGCGCCGCCGCCGCGGGCCTCGAGGCCCGCGGCGAGGCGCAGGGCGCGGCGCAGGAGCGCGTCGTAGGTCCGCGACACCCCCGCGACGGGCTCGACGACGGCGAGGTCGCCGGGCCGGGCCGCGGCGACGGCGGCGAACTGGTCGAACCAGGACTGCGGCGGCGCCGCCGCCGGCGCCCCGTCCTTCGTCTCCTCGTCGGCCATGGGCACGCCTCGAGGAAGCCTGGAGTTACATCCGAAGATAAAGTTGAGGTACAGTATTTGCTGACACGCAAAAAGTAAAAAATCGCAAAAGCCCGAGCCCCGAGCTGACGAAGTCCGAAGCAATCGGAGAAGCACAAAAACCGGCCTCGATTGACGTGTCGCCGCCGAGCGCTGCGAACGCCGCCAACAAGCGGCTTGCAACTATGCGCACGCCTACGAATCTCGCACTGCTCGCGAGCCTCGCGCCGCTGCATGTCGCGAGCCTGCGCCTCGCCCGTCCCGGGTCCTGGCCGTCGCGCACGCGCATGATGCGGCGGCGCGCGGCGACGCTCGAGCGCGCGGCGACGCTCGAGAAGGACGTCGTCTTCGCCGACGCGCTCGAGAAGGACTTGGTATACGCCGACGCGCTCGAGCGCATCGACGTGCTGTACCCGGCGGCGCCGGCGCCCGTGCTCGCGGCGGCGCCCGCGCTCGCGGCGGCGCCCGCGCTCGCGGCGCCGGCGCTCGACGCGCCGGCGCCCGCGCGCGCGTCGTTTTTGGACCGGCACCCGCTCGCGGCCAAGAGCCTGAGCATGGGCCTCACCTACGGCCTCGCGGACATTGCCGCGCAGGCGTTCGCGGCCTTTGCCGGCGGCGAGGTGCTGCCGCTCGCGCAGCGCGTGCGCCGCAGCGTGGCGCTCATGGGCGTCGGCCTTTTTTTCGTCGGCCCGCTGCTGGCCGTGTGGTTCGACTTCCTGGAGAAGGTCCTGCCGGGCCGGCGGAAGCGCGCCGTCGTCGGCCGCGCCGCGCTCGACCAATCCATCCAGACGCCGTTCATGATCTCGCTCATCTTCGCGCTGACGACGCTCGCCGAGGGCCACTCGCCCGCCGTCGCCGTCGCGAAGATCCAGGCGAAGCTGCTGCCGACCTGGTGGGCCTGCGTCGGCGTCTGGACGCCGGTGCAACTCGTGAACCAGGGCGTCGTGCCGCTCAAGTACCGCGTCTTCTTCCAGTCCGTCGTCGCCTTCTTCTGGGACGCGTGGATGTCCATCGTCTCCCACGGCTAGGGGGCGTCCTAACATATTTCACATATCCCGCCGGCGGGATATGTTAGTCCGGTACGTGAGTGGCGTCCGTGGTGCCCCGGGTTCGAGATGGCTCGCTTCCGTCGAGCCTTGCCCTTCAACATCTGACAAGAAACCGATTGCGCTCTCGCATGGCACATTAAAGAGAGCGCCCAGCCCCTCGCGGCGCGACTGCCGTGGCACACTCCTAAAGCGAGCGCCCGGTCCCTCGCGGCGCGGCGCCCGCATGGCACGCTAAAGAGAGCGCGGCGCCCGGGCCCTCGCGCGCGCGCCATGGCCGACGACGAGGACCGCAGCCCGCTGGCGGCGCGGCGCGCCCTCGTCGGCGACGCGCTGCAGACGCTCCAGGCCCTGGACCTCGTCTTCCACCTGCCGGCCCTGCGGCTCCTCGACGAGTCGCAGCTGGCGTCGTCGGCGCACCGGGCCCTCGAGGACGAGGAGGCCGACGAGCTGGACGCCGCGGAGACGCTCCTCAACGAGCTCGACCGGGACCGCGAGCTCGTCGGCTGGCGCCGCGTGACGAACTGGCACGACAAGAAGGAGAACCGCGCGCGGCACCACGCCAAGGTGCCCCACGACGACGAGCTCAAATTGCTCTTGGAGACGCGGGAGGTCCACGCGGGCCAGAAGGTGCGGCCGCCGCGGAGCGACGACGCGCCGACCTACAAGGTGCGCCTCAAGCACGCGCGCGGCGAGGTCTGGCACGAACCGGCGTCCCGCGACCTGTACGAGGCGCAGTACGCGTCCGGCACGCCGCCGTGGGTGCCGCCGCTCGAGCTCACGGCCGCCGAGGCCGCGCTGCTGAGCGGCCACGACGAGCGGGCGCGGGCCGACGGCAACATCCGCAACTCGCTCAAGCACAACCCGGGCTTTTTGCAGTTCATGAAGGTGAAGATGGAGTTGAAGGCCAAGGCGAAGCAGGCGAAGCACGAGGCGTCGCTCGGCGCGCGCCTGGGCAAGCACCTCGACGCCTACGTCGAGGAGTCGACGCAGCGCATGGACATGGCGCGGCGGCGGCGCCAGGAGGAGGAGGCCGCGCGCGCCAAGGCCGAGCTGCCCAACAACGCCGCGGGCTTCCTCGGCATGCTCCGCGCGGCGGGCAAGCTCAAGAAGAAGGCGGCGCTCGCGCAGGCGCGCAAGGCGGCCCAGGTGCCCTTCTACGAGGCCTACCGGCCCGGGCGCCGCCTCACGGACAGCGTCGCGGTCCGCGTCGGCAGCGACGACGCGTCGGGCGACTCGGCCTACGGGCCGAGCGCGGGCCGGAACCTGTGTGCAAATCAACCGCTGGTTTGGGACGTCCCGACCAAACTTTGAAATTCTCTAGCTCGGTCAAATCGAAGTCGATTCGGCTAATTTTTGGACGAATCGATTGCTCTCATCAAGTTCTCGAAGCACAGCCGAAGAGCTTGTGTCGAAATATTCGAATACGCGCACATTGAAGTCGGGTTGAAGATTTGATTTGCACACAGGCCGGAACCGGCGCTTCGGCGCGATGCGCAGGGAGATGGCGAACCACCGCGCGAAGCAGCAGCGCAAGCGCGCGTCGGGCGTCGTGCACCACGCGCGCGCCTTCGGCGGCGGCGGCGCGTCGCAGCCGCCGTCGTCCGACGCGACGGCCGCGACCGCCGCGCCGCGACCGCCGCCGCCCGGCCGGCCGACGCTGTCGCCGGAGCTCCTCGAGCGCCACGCGACGGCGGAGGCGAAGAAGCACCGCGAGAGCTTGTTGGCGGGCGACGTCGACGAGTTCTTCCCCGCGCCGCCGTCGGACGGCGACGGCGGCTCCGCGGCGTCGGCGCGCCCGGACGCCTTCGCGCGCCTCGCGCGCCAGTCGACGCGGGCGGCCCAGTCGCGGCTCTCCGCGCGCCTCGAGCGCGAGCGCGCGTCGCTCCGCGTGTCCATCCGCAAGTTCCGGCCGGGCCTCGGCGGGCCTTCGCCCGCGAAGCCGCCGCCGGCGATCCCCGTGCGGTCCACGGCCGACGCCTGTGTGCAAATCAAATCTTCAACCCGACTTCAATGTGCGCGTATTCGAATGTTTTGACACGAGCACTTCCGCCGTGCTTCGAGAACTCGCTGAGAGCAATCGATTCGTCCAAAAATCAGCCGAATCGACTTCGATGTGACCGAGCTAGAGAATTCTGAAGTTTGGCCCCGACGTCCCAGCTCACTGGTTGATTTGCACACAGGCCGACGCGGTCCACGCGCAGTACTACCAGGCGCAGATGGCCTCCGCGGCGAAGCGGCTGAGCGGCCTCTTCTTCCACGCGGGCTGCGTGAAGCGCGTGCAGAAGAAGGCGTCCGCGACGGTCGCGCTCTGCGTCGCGCGCGGCGTCCAGGCCGCCGTGCGGCGCCTCGTGGCCCTCGACAGCGTCGAGACGGCGGCGCTCGGCGCCGTCAAGGCCGCGAGCCTCGTCCAGCGCCTCGCGCGGCGCGCGTCCGTGCGGCGGCGGAAGAAGGGCGAGGCCATGGTCCACCTGCTGGGCTCCATGGTGGGCCTCAAGGAGAAGCTGGGCCTCAAGGTCAAGGAGCAGCGCGCCTGGAAGCAGCTCATGGCCGCGCGGGGCGACGTCGAGGCCAAGGAGGCCAAGGCGCTCGAGGCGACGGCGGTCGAGGCCGTGCGGCTCGGCCGGCGCATGGAGGCCCACGACCCGCTGGCCCGGCTCGACGCGCCGGGCCACTGCGCCGGGAGTCCCGTGCTCGACGCGCTGCGCACCTACGGCCAGCGGGGCCAGCTGTTATCGGTGCCCACGGGCGAGTCCGTGCTCTCGCGGATGCGCGCGCTCGTCGACCAGAGGCGCGCCTACCCGGACCGCGCGCGCGCGGCCCAGGGCGCGCTCGACGACGGCTCCGGCGCGCCGGACAAGTGGTGGCAGTTCCGGCCCGGCGAGTCGGACCTGGCGTGGAACGAGTGGTGCGACGCGGACGACCCGTTTTATCGGGAGTACTGGGACACGTTTCTCCCCAAGCCCGAGCCCGAGCCGCTGAAGCGCTACGACGGCCCGCCGAGGCACGTCGCGGCCCTCTACGACGAGGCCGGCAAGCCCTGGAAGCCGCCGGCGCCGACGCTCGAGCAGCGCATCGGCGCGCCGATGCCGCTCGTCGCCGTCGACAGCGACGACGACGACGACGACGACTTCCGGAGCCGGAAAAGGGACCCGCGCCTCGACCGCAAGGACCGCAAGCGGCGCAAGGAGCAGAAGAAGAAGCGCGAGAAGAAGCCCAAGAACGTGAAGCCGTCGAACCTCGCGAAGCCGGTGCCGAAGCCCGCGCCGCCCAAGCCCGCGCCGCCCAAGCCCGCGCTCCCGCCGCCGAAGCGGCCGCCGCCGCCGCGGCCCAGCGACCCGTCGACGCCGCCGACGCCCGAGCCGGCCGCGACGCGCCGCGCGCCGCCGCGGGGGACGGTCCTCGGGTCCGCGAACTTCGCGGCCGGCGCGGCCTTCGCGAACGCGCCCGCGACGCCCCAGGCCGACGCGTCCGGCGCCGCCGCCGGCGCCGCCTTCGGCATCTCGCCCAACGCCGCGCGGCGGCGCCAGCAGACCACGGTCCAGCGCCCGGGCCGCAACGCGTTCTCGATGTAACCCTTGAGCAACTCGCGGCGCCCGGGAGCGCTCCCGGAGCACTCGGCAGGCCGGAGCGCGCGGGGAGCGCTGCAGCGTGTGCCGAGTTAGTTGAGGTCGAAGGTGACCTGGCTTCCCGGGCAGCCCCGCCATGGGCGCGCTCCGATGGACGTGGGCGCTCGCGCTGGCGGCGGCGGCGCCGACGAGCCTGCCGCCGCGGCTGATGCACCCGGGCGACACCATGTCCATGGGCGCGCTGCGCCTGCCCGACGCGCTCGGCGACCTGCTCGGCGCCTACGCGGGCGCGCAATGGTACTACTTCGTGGGCCACCTCGCGTCCCGGGCGGACCCGGACGTCCTCTTCAGCGTCGAGTTCCAGATCCTGCGCGTGCGCGAACTCGCCGGCCTCCCGCCCGTGACGTTTTCGCTGATCGGCGTCGGCGACGAGCGCGACGGAAGCACGTACCACTACGCGCTCGAGGCCGGCGGCGCAACGCTCGACGCGCCGACCTGGGACCGCTTCGGCGTCGCGTCCCACGACCTCGACGGTAAAGCGTGCATCAACTACACCTACGTCGGCGGCCCCGGCGTCGGCCTCGCGGGGTCGTCCTACGCGTTGACGGCGCGCGCGACGGCGACGACGAAGCCCGGCGGCGGGAAGGCGGCCGTCGCCGCGTCGCTCGAACTCGCCGACGCGCGCGGGACCATGCTCGAGGGCGCGTCGGGCGCGCTGCTCAACACCTACGAGTTCTCCCAGCCGCGCCTGGACGTCGCCGGCGGCTTTTTAAAAATCGGCGACGAGACGATCGCCGTCGGCGGCGGGTCCCTGTGGAACGACATGCAGACCATCTTCACGGCCTTCAACGGGACCCTCCCGAGGCGCTTCGGCGCCGCGCTGCCGCCGACGTACCAGTGGCTCTCCCTCACGCTCGACGGCGGCGCGTGCCTCGAACTCTCGTCGCTGTGGCACGTCCACGAAAACCAGTGGCGCTCCGGGAACAAGTCGGGCCGCCCGGCGCGCACGGGCTTCGGCGTCTTCTACCGGCCGCGGCAAGCCGACGCCTACGCCTACGCGGGCGGCGGCTACCCCGTCGTGCCGCTCCACGACTGCGCGCCGGGCGACGACGCGCCGCCGGACTGCCCCTACCCGGAGGGCGTGCCCTGGGATTTTTCCGTGGACGTCTTCGATGGCGCGCACTGGACGAGCCCGGACACGAACCGCACCTACGCGACGGCGCTCGAGGTCACGCTCGGCGCGCGCCTCGCCGCGGACGTCGGCCACGACGCGCTCTACGTCTACCAGATCGTCGACAACGGCGAGGCCGTCCTGTCGACGAGCACGGAGAGCGTCGCCGCCGCGCGCGTCTTCGACCGGCCCCGCGGCGAGCCCGGCGCCGCGCTCGTCGGCGCCGCGGTCGTCGAGCAGTACGGCTACAACTAAGCGCGGGGGATCGACCCGCGCGGCGCCGGCTCGGACGGACGTCGTCGCTTAGGACCGCGACCTCGGGGACGGGAGAGGGAGCTGCGCGAACTTCGGTGCGCTTTCACAGGGCCTACGCCTCGACGTTCGTGTTGTCCTCGAGGTAGGTGCGGTACTGGTCCTTCGCCTGCCGCTCGAGCTCCGGGTCGACCTTGCCCGAGAGCGGGTCCGTGCCGAGCGCGCGTCGGAACAAGAAGATGTGGCGCTCCGGGCGGTGGATCATGAAGTGCTGCCAGCCCCGGGACATCTGGATGCCCGCGTTGCGCCACTCCTGCTCCGACATGAGCGTCGACCGCGGCAGCGACTTCGCGAGCTCCTTCGGCATGATCACGTGCCGGTACTCGTAGTTCTCGTCGTTGTACTTCTCCGAGTACTCGATGCGCGAGATGAGGTCCGAGTTCACCATCCTGCGCGCGGCGAGCGCTCGGGCGGGGATCGCGGCCGACGAGCGGAGGGGATACCGGGTCGGAGGGGAGATCGGCCGACCGCGCGCGCGCGCGGGGCCCCTCGGCCGCTCCCGCTGCCACCGCGCTCCCCCGGCGACCCCGCGGCCCGGGACGGCCTCCGAGATCGCGAACGGCAGCGGCAGGGCCGGGACGAGGCCCGTCGCTGCCAGCCGCTTTTCGCGGCCATTTGACCGTTTCCAGACGCGCGCCCGGCGGCTTTTCGCGGGTGAAACGGGTGCGCGCGGCGGGCGTCTTGGGAGTGGCGCGGCGGAGAGGTCGTGAGAAGGGGTGTGGGGGGCGTGCGGGCGCGCGCGCGAAGCGAGGACTCACCTCTCGAACTGCCAAAGTCGCGGCATTGAAACCTTGGGCGGGCGTTTGCGATGAGGCCAACAGTGCCGCCACAGATGCCCCTCAAGCTGCCCCGCAGCCCTCCCCCGGCGGCGCCGTGGCGACAGGCGCAGCGCGCGGCCGCGGTGCCCGCCGACGCCGTGTTCACGGCGCGGACCCGCGAGAGCACCGCGGCGGGGTTCCGCGCCGCGAGCCGCCCCGGGAGCGCCAACGCCGCTAGCGGCAGCTCCGCGTCGTCGTCGCGAGGCGGCCGCGCCAAACCATGGCGCCGTCGCGGGGCCCGTTCAAGCCGCCCAAGGTGACGTCGTCCATCGAGTTCGAGGCCATGCTCGAGAACATGACCGAGTCGTCGAGCGACGACGACGAGGACATCAGCCTCCACAGCACCCCAAAGCCGGGCGACTCGCTGTCGCCGCGGACGACGGAGGCCGTGTTCAGCCACCTGCTCCAGGAGCAGGACGACGAGGCGAGCTCGAGCGCGGCCTTCAGCCCGCCGGACCACGGGTCCATCCCGCTGGAGTCGTCCCTCGAGAGCCCCGCGAGCTCGCTCTGCGCGACGGGCCCGCGGCGCCTGCCGCCGCGCGAGCCCGTGCCCGCGTCGCCGCGGACGCCCGGCGGCTCGCTGCTCGAGGCCGCCGCCGCCGCGAGCCCCCGGCCGTCGAGCGCGAGCCCCCGGAGCCCGCCGCGCGACGCGCTGAGCCCGCGGAGCCCCGGCGGGGACGGCGACGACGCGTTCAGCCCGAGGAGCCCCACCAAAAACGGCGAGCCGCCGCGGCGGCGGCGGCGGCGGCGCATCGAGCCCGGCACGTGGAAGATCGCCAACGTCATCGGCCAGGGCAGCTTCGGCGCCATCTATTTAGGCCTCAACATGAACACGGGCGAGCTCATGGCCGTCAAGGAGCTGCCCATCCGGCGCGCGCGCGACGTCGCGGAGCTCCGCCAGGAGATCGACATCCTGGCCACGTTGGAGCACCCGAACATCGTCAAGTACCTCGGCGCGGAGGTCAAGGACGCCGACGACGCCGGCGGGCCCGCGCTCTACATCATGCTCGAGTACGTGCCCGGCGGCTCCGTGCGCCAGCTCCTGGAGGCCTTCGAGAAGTTCTCGGAATCCGTCGTCCGCATCTACGGGAACCAGATCCTGAAGGGCCTCGCCTACCTCCACGACAACGCGATCTGCCACCGCGACATCAAGGGCGCGAACATCCTATTGGACGAGAAGGGGCTGGTGAAGCTCGCGGACTTTGGCGCGTCGTGCAACTACGAGCTCGACGCGTGCGCCAAGGTCCAGGCGGGCACCTGTGCCGAAACCAACCACTGGTTTGGGTGGTCCTGACCAAACTTGAGAATTCTCTAGCTCGGTCAAATCGAAGTCGATTCGGCTGATTTTTGGACGGATCGATCGCTCTCGTCGAGTTCTCGAAGCCCAGCCGAAGAGCTTGTGTCAAAACATTCGAATACGCTCACATTGAAGTCGGGTTGAAGATTTTGGTTTCGGTCCAGGCGGGCACGCCCTACTTCATGGCGCCGGAGATCATGGCCAACGCGCCCTACGCGCCCGCGGCCGACGTCTGGTCCTTCGGGGGCGTCGTATTGCAGATGGCGACGGGCCACTTCCCCTGGCTCGAGGTGAAGCGGACGTCGACCGCGGACCTGTTCGCCTACGTGACGACGCACAACGTCGCGCCGGCCTGCCCGACGCACTTCAGCGCCGAGCTCCACGACTTCCTCGGCGCCATCTTCGACCGCGACGCGGACCGGCGGCCCGCGGCGGCGGCGCTGCTCCGCCACGCGTTCCTGGAGGAGCCGGACGACGCGGACGAGCTCAACTCGTCGTTCACGGAGCTCGAGGCGCACCACGAGGTCTTCGCGAAGATCGAGCGCATCGCCAAGGAGTCGGACGCGCCGCGGCCCGCGCGGTCCCGGTCCGCGCCCGGGGGGGGACAGGACAAGCAGCCGAACCCCTACCGCCGCGCGAAGAGCGACGCCGCGAGGGCCGAGAAGCACCGGAGCCGCAACCCCTACGCGCGCAAGAAGAAGGCGCCCGGCGCGATCCGCGTCGACGGCGCCGACGAGGCCAAGCGCGCGGAGCCGAGTCCCTACGGCCGGTCGTCCGCGTCCGACGCCGCGTCCGTCGCGACGACGCCCGACGCGCTGGACGCGACGCTGAAGGGCGCCGCGGCCGCGGCCGTCAAGGCCGCCCTCGACGAGCTCGCGCCGTCGACGCCGTCGACGCTCGCGACGCCGAGCCCCGTCGACGACGCTTCGAACCGCCGCGCGGTCTTCAAGATGCCCGCGTGGCAGAAGACGACGGCCGAGACGGACCGGCACGACACGGTCTACCTCGCGCCCCGCGCGTCGCCCGCGCGGCCGCGGACGGCGCCGCCCGTGCCCTACCGCGGCGACGACGCGGCCGCGCCGCCGAAAGCCCAAACGCCGCCGCCGGCCGAGCCGCCCGCGGCCGCGCGGCCGCCGCCGGCGACGGGCACGGCGGCCGCGCGGCCGGGCAGCGCCGTCGGCGCGCTCCTGTGTGCAAATCAACCAGTGAGCTGGGACGTCGGGGCCAAACTTGAGAATTCTCTAGCTCGGTCAAATCGAAGTCGATTCGGCTGATTTTTGGACGAATCGATTGCTCTCAGCGAGTTCTCGAAGCACGGCGGAAGTGCTCGTGTCAAAACATTCGAATACGCACACATTGAAGTCGGTTTGAAGATTTGATTTGCACACAGGCGCGCTCTACTTCGCCCAGTTCCTCAAGAACAAGTCGAAGCGGCCCGATTCGAGGGAAGCCCCGACGTCGAGCCGGAGCCTCGGCGACGCGCGGCCCGCGGACCCCGGCGCGCCGCCGCCGTCGAGCCGGAGCCTCGACGGGCACTAACCTCATGTGGGCGCTCGCTTACGGGGGCGAGGTCGGGCGCTCACGGCAGCTTGCGCACCGACGCGGTACAGTCGCCGCTCCCCGCGGCGCACGTCTTGCCGTTGGCGGCGAGGGCGACGCCGTTGACGCGCTTTTTGTGCCCCGCGGTGATGGACGCCGTTATCGTTTGCGTCTTCACGTCCCAGAGCGTCAGCTCGCCGAACTGCCCCCCCGCGAGCACCGAGGCGCCGTCGTCGGCGAGGGCGCAGCAGGGCACCCAGGCGGCGTAGCCCTCGCCCTCCTCGCCGAGGACGGCGACCTGCTCGAACGTCCGGGAGTCCCAGACGCGGACGACGTGGTCGTAGCCGCACGTCGCGACCGTGTTTCCGCCCGAGAAGCTCACGCCGCAGACGCGCGCGGCGTGGCCCTCGAGGACGCCGAGCTTGGCGCCCGTGGCGACGTCCCAGAGCTCCGCCTTGTTCTCGCAGTGGCCCGTCGCGACCGTCGCGCCGTCCGCGGCGAAGGACACCGACGTCACGAACTTCTCGCCCTCTTCCGGGAGCTGTCCCAGGCGCCCGTCGCCGCGATTGTGCCGTCCCGGGTCACGGCGCAGGACGTGACCCAGTGCGTGTGGCCCGCGAGGACCTTCCGCTCGGCGCCGGTCGCCGCGTCCCAGACGCGCGCGGTCTTGTCGCCGCTCGACGTCACGATGACGGACCCGTCGCCGGAGAAGGCGCAGCCCGTGACGTCGCGGTCGTGGCCCGCGAGCGTGTGGACGAGGGCGCCCGTCGTCACGTCCCAGACCTTGCACGCGTTGTCGTCGCCGCAGCCGATGCCCGCCGCGGCGCGCGTCCCGTCGCGCGTCAGCGCCACGCCGTAGACGACGCCGCCGGCGTCGAAGACCCGCGGCTCGCCGACCGTCGACCCGTAGTCGAAGCCGCGCGCCGCCGTCGGCGTGGGATTCGCAAACTCGGCCATGCTGCCCGCAAATCGCGAGCGGGGCAGCCCCTTGGCCGGGGGTTCTCCAGTGTTACGCGGCGCCCCGCCGGTCGGCGGCGGCGATGCCCGCGACGAGGGCCGGGTCGTCCCGCCAGGGCGTGTGCGCGAGCGCCGCGCGGACGTCGCCGAAGTTCGCGATCATCTCGTGCACGGGCCGCTGGATGCTCTTCTCGAGGGGCGAGTTCGCGGCCCGAGGCGGCACGCCGAGGAACGCGAAGACGCGCGCCATGGTCGCGTCCGGCTCCGCGGCGAGGTCCGCGAAGTCGACGTGGAGGTAGGGGCGGCCCGCGCTCGACGCCCACCTGCGCGGTTTCCCCGGCGTCGCGGCCGAACCCCGGGCGTCGCGGCCGAACGCGACCGACGCTCGGACGAGCGATCGCGCATCTCGACGCGCGCGTCGTCTCGCGTCGAAGGATGACGATGATTCCGCGCGCGGCGGCGCGCGCGCGCATCTCCGCCCAGTGCTTCGCCTCCGCGGTCACGCTCCGCTTCAAGAGGTCGTCGACGTCGACGGTGATGCGCTTCGCGTTCAGCTCAGCGACGCAGGTCGCGTTGCCCGCGGCGCAGTGCGTCGCGAGGGACTTGTCCCGCTTCATGATGCCCGAGACGTACTTCCCGAGGCCCTGGCGCTCCAATAAGAGCAACCTGTGTGGAAATCAACCACTGGTTTTGGGTGGTCCCCACCAAACTTCAGCACTCTCTATCTCGGTCAAATCGACGTCGATTCGGCTGATTTTTGGACGGATCGATTGCTCTCGTCGAGTTCTCGAAGCACAGCGAAAGAGTCTGGTCTAAATCGTTCGATTACGCGCACATTGAAGTCGGGTTGAATATTTGATTTCCACACGGATAGCAACCGCGCGGAATTCGCCGCGAGCCAGCCGCGGAACACGTCGGACTGCGCGCGGTACCGGCGCGCGCGCGCGTTGTCCTCGTAGGGGTAGATGAGCCCCTGGCCGTTGAACCACTTGAACCCGGTGACCTGCGGCGGGGAACCAGTGAGCGATCCGAGCATGTCTGAGTCCGTCGCGAATACCGAACCCGTCGGAGCGCGCCGACGCCGCCGCGGCGCGCGTTCGGACGCGCCGCGGCCTCTCGTCTCTCGAGCGATCCGCGGACCGCGCGCGCGCCCGCGTCGCGATGATACGTCGAAGGCCCGCGCGGCGGACTCGCGGTGACGTTGTCCGAGCGGCACGGCGACGAGCGCCGCCGCCGGTAGGGCTTGCGGAAGTCGCCGCTCGACACCATGTCGAGCTTCTCCCGCACGCGCAAAAGGTGGTCGCGTTCGACCTCTTCCTCGCTCAGGCCCGCCGCGGCGCGCTGGTCCCACCAGTCGACGCCGAGCTCGCGGAGCGTCTCGTCTTTCACGCAGACCTCGTCGGCGTCGTTGAGCATGGACACGAGGAAGTCCGTCCCGGACCGCGCCCGCGACACGACGACGACGACCGTCTTCGGTTTTGCCGCGGAGGCGAGATAGGCGGTGACGGTGAGGAGGCGAGCCATCGCCGCCGCTCGCATTTTTTTTTCGCCTTGACGCGTCTCTAAACGTAGGGGGCCCGGGAGGAACCGCGGGGGATGGGAGGCTCAGAGGGGTCTCACAGGCGCGGGAGGCGCCAGTGGACGGCGGCGTCCTGGCGAAGGCGCCAGTCGCAGGGGCGGCCTTTTTTTTTTCGCCACAAGGTTTTGGGATTTTTGGGCCCTGGAGGGCGAGGTCGCGGGCGTCCGCGCGTACAATAATATGACCCCGATGGAGAATTTTTTGGCGCAACGTGACCCCAATTACGATGTCCGAAACATCGTAATGGTGCCGCCCGAGCCGCTGCGTGCAAGTTTCAACCTTAATTGTGGACTTGACCATAGCGTGTTGGGGCTATTGGAGGGAGTTCGAGATTTCTACTCACCAGAAAAAACTGATGAGCAGCTATCAAATATTGCTACACTTTTTAAAACGCACGGCAAGATGATGCCGACCCTGTCCGAGCTCGCCGCGGCGTACCGTTACGATTTTCCCGAGGCCCGGGTCGCGGCGCAGATGGTGTATTGGACGGCCCTCTATGCGAACGTCGAAAGCGCATGCGCGCGCCAGCGCCGCCGCGCGGCGCGCCTGCCGCTCCTGCTCTGCCGCCAGCGCTACTATGCCGAGGCGGAGACGGACGACGAAGAGGCCGACGAAGGCGGCGCGGACGAGCGCGCGCCCGCGGACGTCGTCGTCGCGCTCGCGCGGCCCGGCCTCGAGGGCGCGTTCCGCCACATGGTGACGTTCCTCTCGACGACGAACGGAGAGACTCTAGAGGGTTCACAAGCACAAAACTTCTATCGGAGCGTCTTCACGAGCGTGCACCGGGCCTCGGCGCTGTCGTCCGTGTGGATGAGGTCGTAGCCGAGGTTCGCGTACATGCGGCGCGCCGCCGCGTTCGACGCCTCGACCTTGAGGTAGACGACGTCGTAGCCCCAGTCGAGCACCGCGGCCTCGCACCGCCGCACGAGGCGCGTCGCCAAATTCCGGCGCCGGTGGTCGGGCCGCACGGCGAGGTCGGAGATGTAGGGCCGCGGGTGGGACTCGCCGGGGCCCGGGTTGCGCTTCGGCCGGCAGTCGACGTCGACGTAGGCCACGGCCTCGCCGTTTAGGCGCGCCGACCGCGCGACGAGCTGCGCGTGCGCCTCGCCGCCGTGGTGCGCCCGCAGCCGCTTGTGCTCGCGGTGGGCCGTCACCGCCAGGAAGGCCGGGTGGCGGCTCGCGGCCTCGAAGAAGGACGCCACGAGCAGCGCCGCGCACTCGCCTAAATCCTCGACGGCCGCGTCCTCGATGGCGACGGCGGCCTCGCCGAGCGGCGCGGGCGACGCCGGCGGGTCGAAGGCCAGCGGCTCGAGCTGGGTGATGGGCGACCCGTCGAGGGGGCCGAAGACCTCCGGGGGCGGCCGCGCCACGAACGTCGGCTCGTAGACCTTCTCCGTCGTCGCGCCCAGCGTCGCCCGCAGTCGCAGCAGCGAGTCGCGCACGCTGAAGCCATCGCCGACGCCGGCGAGGGCGAAGACCACCAGGGCGGCGAGCCGGCGGCGGCCCATGGCGTCCGGCGGCGCGCGGCGGGCGCGTATCTCCCCGGCGGCGCGCGGCAAGGAGAGAGGGCGGGCTGACTAGGTGTCGGATCGTCGACGCTCCAACATCCGAGGCGCGTGTGCTCCTCTGACCTCGTTGAAGCCTGGGGGCAGCCTCTGCGCCTCTCAGTCGCCTTCTCTCTCCGCGCGCGGCGGCGCGATGACGACGGCGTCGTCGATCTTCGTCACGCACGGCGACGAGGGCGACGTCGACGAGCCCTTCACCGTGAAATTGGCCCTGAAGCCGGGCAAGGGCGCCGCGGCCCGCATCCTGCGCCAGTTCTGCAAGGTGCGCAACGGGAAGCGGCCCGGCGCGCCGCTCGACGCGGAGGACTACGCCCTCGCCCACGACGCCGCGGGCGCGCGGAAGATCGCGAGCGACGACGACGTGCGCTTCGTGATTCCAGACGGCGGCGTCGCGTTCGTCGTCGCGCGGCCGGCGCCGCCGCCGGAGCTGAAGCGGGGCTTCCTCGCCGCGCCGGCCCCGGCGCCGGCGCCGAGCCCGGCGAAGCCCGGCAAAGCGACGAAGCTCAAGAAGGGCTTCTTCAACACCGCGAAGAAGAGCGCCGGCGCGCCGACGCCGACGAAGAAAAAGGTCGACGACGAGACGTACGCGACGACGCCGTCCATCGCGCTCCAGCCCTGGACGCAGACGGCGCGCGGGGCCGCCTCCGAGTTCCGCGACGCGAACGTCCGCGAGCTCAGCCACCGCGTCGCCGACATCGACATGAAGATCGACGCGTGGGCGACGAGCGTCCAGGGCAGCCGCCGCGAGCCCACGGCGCCCCTCGTCGCCCAGAAGCCCGAGGGCTAGCGGCGCGCGTATAACCGCGTGATGCGGGACCGGGCGCGCCCGGCGCGGCCGCGGGTCTTCTCTGCGACAGGAGAAGGTCGACGGTGCCGTCAAAACGGCGACACCGGCCCGCGAAGTATCCTGACCTCTTGCGCTGCCCCACGATGGGCCCGCCGTGATGGCCCCGCCCAAGGTCTACACGGCGCCTTCCGACGAGACGAAGGCCGAGGATGTCCCCCCGCACCCGACGTCGCCCGTCTCGCCGGAGCGGGGCCAGGTCTCCTTCCGCTCGACGGCGAGCAAGGAGGCTCGCCCGGTGAAGCACTTCGCGAAGCGCGGCAACGACTTCTTTTACCACGGCAAGGGCTACGTCCACGCCGGCGGCGTCGAGATCTTCCCGCGGCGCCAGAAGCGCTGGTTCAAGCTCGTCAACCCGACGGACGCGTCCTACCGCGCGTGGACGTGGCTCCTCATCCCCGCACTGATCTGGACGGCCGTCGCGCTGCCCTTCGAGATGGCCTTCATGGGCTTCACGCTGTCGGTCCACGCGCGCACGGCGTCCCACGGCGGGCGCTTCCTCTTCACGGTCAACCGCGCCTGCGACCTCTACTTCGCGGCCGACTTTCTATTGATGTTTAGCGTCGCGTACTTCGACAACAAGCACGACGTCTGGATCCTCGACCGGCGGCGCATCGCCGCCAAGTACCTGCGGGGCTGGTGCGTCGTGGACCTCGCCTCCATCGTCCCCTACGACATCTTCGCCGACGACTCCTACGGCGGCGTCCACTTTCTGCGGCTCATGCGGTTCTCGCGCGCTCTCAAGCTCATCCGCGTGTCGCGCGTCGGCCGTTTGATGGACTGGTGCATCTTGTACCTGGGGCTGCCGTTCCGGTCCGTGGTCATGCTCAAGTGCGGGTTGGTGTTTTTCTTCACGCTGCACTGGGGCTGCGTGGAAAGCGACCGCCGGTTCGGGAAGTCCCGACCACACTTTGAAATGCTCTCGCTCGGCCACATCGACGTCGATTCGGCTGATTTTTGGACGCATCGATCGCTCTCGTCGAGTTCTCGAAGCACGGCAGAAGAACTCGCGTCGAAACGGCCGCATACGCGCACATTGCAGTCGGGTTGAAGATTTGAGTTCCACGCAGGCACTGGGGCGCGTGCTCCTGCCGCATGGTGCTCGACGAGTGCGCGGACCCGAAGCGGTATCTGGGGGACATGTCGAACCACGGGCAAAACCTCTATGTCAAGTGCGTCGACGAGGCCGTCATCATCTTCGGCAAGGGCGTCTTCCGCGAGTACCTCGACGCGCTCCACTGGTCCATCCGCGCGATGTTCGGCGACGCGGACGCGCCGACGATGGGTCTGGACGGCCTCGCCATCTTCCTCGCGCTCTGGGGCCTCTTCATCACGTCCTACCTCATCGGCGAGGTGGGCAACGCCGTCTCCAACGGCGACCCGGCGAGCACCAGTGTGGATTCCAACCACCAAACTTCAGAACTCTCTAGCTCGGTCAAATCGAAGTCGATTCGGCTGATTTTTGGACGAATCGATCGCTCTCATCGAGTTCTCGAAGCACGGCGAAATACTGTGCTCCAAACCGATCGATTACGCGCGCATTGAAGTCGGGTTGAAGATTTGGAATCCACGCAGGCGGGCACGGAGTACCGCGCGACGTGCGACAACATCCGGTCCATGGCGCGGCGCAACAGCTTCCCGCCGGACTTGAGGGACCGGCTCCACAAGTTCCTGCTCCACAGCGACGCCATGTTCCACAGCGTCTTCGAGCGCAAGATGCTCATGGGCCTGTCGCCGGCGGCGCGGAAACCAACCGCTGGGTCCCGACCACACTTCAAACCTCTCTCTCTCGGTCACATCGACGTCGATGTGGCTGATTTTTGGACGGATCGATGGCCGCCCTCGAGTCCTCGAGGCACGGCCGAAGAGGTTGCGTCGAAACATTCGCGCACATTGAAGTCATCTTGAAGATTTGGGTTCCGCGCAGGTCGCCGGGCCTCCAGCACACGATCGCGATGGAGCAGCTCGGCGCGCAGGTCGGCGGCATCCCCTTCTTCCGCTACGCCATGCTGCGCAGCGTCAAGCTCGGCAAGCGGCAGCGGGTCTCCGTGAAGTGCTGGAACGAGGACGACGACGAGATGGCGCTGCGGCGCGCCGTCGTCCGGCGGCCGCACGGCACGAACGGCACGGCCGTCGGCGTCGACTACGTCGACGGCGCGCTGCCGGAGAGCGAGGACGACGTGATCCTCGACCGCATCGTCTGCGGCCGGGACCCGGAGACGCTGCGCTGCAACCGCGAGGTCCACGCGTTCGTCCGCGATCTGAGCGTCGCCGCGACGTCGCGCGCGTACATGACGGGCGAGACCCTGGTGCACCAGGGCATCTCCTGGAACGACGAGCTGTTTATTCTGGTGGAGGGCCGGGCCGTCGTCTTCGACGCGACGCGCCACGCGATCCACGGCAAGGAGCTCGTGACGCCGCGGACGAACGCCGTCGTCGGCCGCGACATCTGCGCGTACCTCTGCAACCGGAAGAAGGTGCCGCGCAAGTACACGTGCAAGCTCCTCACGCATTCCCTCGTCTACGCCGTCGACGCGGAGACGTTCTGCGACCTGCTGAGCCGCGGCCACTACAAGGCCCTGTATAGGGGCATGGCGTTCTACGGGAGCTGGATCGTGCTCCGGAACGCGCTCCTGGCCTGGGTCGACGAGCGGCGGGCGCGCCCGCCGGAGAAGCCCCGGCGGAAGTCGGGCGTCGTTTTTCTGGAGACGCCGCCGCCCAAGGCGAAATCGCCGCTCGCGCTTCAAGCCGCCGCCCCCGCGGAGCTCCGGCCCCGGTCCGGCGCGGCCATCCTCGCGCCCCTCGCGGCGCCGGACCCCGACGTCGCCGCGCTCCTCCGGGCGCAGGCGGCCGCGCTCGACGCGCAGCGCGACGCGCTCGCGGCCCTCGCGGCCAAAGTCGACGCGCTCATCGACCGGCGGCGGCCCCCGGCCGCGGACGACGGCCGGGCGTTCCTCCCGGGGGCGTAAAACGTGTCTTAGGCGCGCCGGTTCGGGTCCTTCGGGCGGCCCCGCGCGACGCCGGGCTCGACGAGGACGACCTCGTAGTTGCCCTTCTTGCAGGTCAGGTCCGCCGCGGCGGCGAGCTCGAGCCGGACGGAGGCCCACCGCGGGTCCAGGAACACGAGGCGGCCGTCGGCCGTCGCGCCGGCGACGACGCGGTTGTGCCCGCCAAAGCACAGAATCGCCGGGAAGGCGCCGCCGCGTTGGAAGTAGGCGGCGACGTCGCGCGCGATCGCGAGAGCCGCCGCGCGCGCGCCCGCCGTCCGCGCCGCGCGGCCGATCGTGTTCGCGCGGAAGCCGGCCGCGCGGAGCGCGACGCAGATCTCCACGGGGCCGATCCACTTGCGCGTGCCCGCGAGTTTGTTGCCGAGCTGGCGCGCGCCGACGGCGTCGAAGCCGCACGCCCACGCGCGCTCGACGGACCGCTGCACGGCCGCGACGTCGCCGCCGAGCGCCGCGGCCGCGCGCGCGTGCGCGTCGTCGCGGGCCCGCAGCGCGGCGCAGAGCGTCAGGCAGCAGCGGTAGCCGCAGCTCCAGGCGTCGCGCTGGCGGTGGTGGACGAGCGGGCCCGGGAGCGAGAAGGCGTCTCCGACCCGGGCGCGGAGCATTTTCGCGAGCTCCGGCCGCGCGTCGCCGTCCGCCCCGGCCGCGCTCCAGGACGCGATGACGCCGCCGGCGACGAGCGCGTCGAGGCGCGCGCCCGCGCCGCCGCCCTCCGCGGCGAGCGCGCGCGCCGCGGCCTCGTCCGTCGCTTCCCGCGCCGCGCGCTCCTCTTCTTGGAAACGCGCCGCGAGGGCCGCGTCGGTGGTTTCAGTGTTTAGTTTCGCGCGCTTCTCCCGCGCGTCGAGACGCGCCGCGAGGGCCTCGTCGTCGCGGGACCGCTTCCCGCCTCCGCCGAGGACGTCGTCGGCGGCGCGGGCCACGTCGCCGCCGCAGCGCTCGAGGGCGAGCCGCGCGGCGCGCGGCGACACGCCGAGCGCGACGAGCGGCGCGGCGGGGTCGGCGGCGTCATCCTCGTTGTCCGAGGCCGTGAGATCAATTAAGTCGGCCGAGTCGGCCATGCTCGACGACCCGCGCGCGCGGCCGGCAACTTCCGGCAAACTTAGGCTTCAAGTTTGAGGCCTCGGGGTTCTGACGCCCTTGTCTGGCATGATCAATAGACAGGAGCTTAGGTGCTCGGTCGCGCGGCGGCGGCGGCGGCGGCGTCGCCGCGACGGGGCTTCGTCGCGGCGCGGCGGCGGCGGCGGCGGCGCGGGCCCGGCGCCGGCGGCTACCGCGCTCCGGGCGGCGCGGCCGCCTTGGCTTTCGGCTTCGTGCGGTTGCGCTTCTTGGAGAGGGACGTGAAGGCCGGGTCGCGCTTCGGGCGAGAGCGCCAGACGATGGGCTTCCACGTCGGCGACCGCGCGTCCGCCCGTCGCGGCGTCGCCCACTTGCGCCGCGGCGTCGACGCCTTGAGGAGCCGCGGCGTCGACGCCTTGAGGAGCCGCGCCGCCGGCGGCGTCTTCGCGGGGGCCGCGCGCGGGCGCGGCGCCGGCGGCGCGCGCTCCCGCCGCGGCGTCCGCGGCGTCGGCGGCGTCCGCCGCGCGTCCAAGGCCTTGCGCGTGCGCGGCGTCGGCGGCGTGGACCGCGCGCGGAGGCTCCGCGCCGGCGACTTGCGCAGCGACGCGGGCCGGCGCGGCGCCGGCGACACGCCGGCGTGCCAGCGGAGCTCCTTGCTCGACGCGGGCGCGAGGAGGCGCAGCTCCGTGCTCGGCGTGGCGTCGAGGAGGACGATGGGCTCGGGCTTCATCGGTGCGGCGGCGGAGGAGTGCCGGGGCGAGAGCGTGCGTGCGATTGCGCGAAGGCTGTTCGCAGCCTGTGTTTGGAATTTTTGCAACCCCATCACTTCCCGACTTCCCGGCCCGGGCTCCGGACAGGGGAGTCCTGGACGTTTCCCTAGGTTTACAGCTAGGCTAGCAGTCGTCGACGATGTGACATCATAAGCATGGGCAGCCCGAGCACTCCTATGACATCCGAAACAATGGCCAGCCCGTCGCTCCTCTGACAGCCTACACATGGGCAGCCACATGCTCCTCGTTCTGGCCTGCGCCGCCGCGGAGCTGAAGCGCTGCGGCTGGCCCTGGGAGGGCCCGGTGCTCGAAGGCGTCGACGTCGCCGCGACCTACGACGCCGCCGTGCTCGCCCGGGCGCGCCACCGGCCGCTGGGCGCGCCCGTGCGCGGCTCGGCGAACTACAGCGCGACCGTCGACGGTTTTACGTACCTCTTCGCGTCGACGGAAAGCCGCGACGCCTTCGCCGCGGCGCCGGGGGACTACGAGCTCGGCGCGGGCGGGTTCTCCGTCGGCGTCGGCGGCGCGCGGGCCTCCGCGTGCGCGGCGTCCGCCGACACCTACGACCTCGCCGCCGACGGAAAGCTCTACTTCTTCCGCGACGCCGCGGCGAAGTACGCCTTCTTCGACGACGAGGCCGTCGCGATCGCCGGCGCCGCGAAGGCCGTCGCCGCCGCGGAGAACGCGACCGGCGCGCCGTGCCGCAACACGGCGAGCTTCCGCTGCGGCGGCGGCGCGGCGGCGGGGACCGCGGCGGAGCCGCCCACGGACCCGCCCACGGACCCGCCGACGGCCGCGCCGACGGCCGCGGCGCCGCCGTCGCGCGCGCCGACGGCCGCGCCGGCGGCGGCGGCGACGTGCGCGCGGGACTGCTACCGGGGCTACTCCTGCGACGACGTCCTCGCGCTCCTCGGCGGCGACGCCTGCGCCTGCGGCGCCGTCGAGGGCCTCCTGGGCTGCGACTGCAGCGGCTGCTGCGCGAGCTGCGGCGCCGCCGCCGCGGCGACGGCCGCGCCCGCGGGCGCGCCGACGGCCCGGTGCGCCGACGACCGGGCCTGGCGCGCCGACGGATCCACATTCCGCGACTGCGCCTGGGTCGCGCGGGACCCCGCCGCGCGGTCCGCGGCGGTCGGCGCGGGCGTACCCGCGGCCGCGGCGTGCCCGGCGGCGACGGGCCGCTGCGCGCCGACGGCCGCGCCGGCGACGGCCGCGCCGTCGCCGCCGCCGTCGGCGGCGGCGGGCGGCCCCGCGCCCACGTACGCGCCCTCACGCGGCGCCGCCGCCGCCGCGCCGCGCGCGGCCGCCGCGACCGCCGCGCCCGCGCCGCGGCCCGCGCCGGCGCCCCGGCCCGCGCCCGGCGCCCGGCCGCCGTCCCGGCTCCCGTCGCCGGCCGCCGCGGGCGTCGCGGCGCTCGCCGTCTCCGGCGCGGTCGCCGGCGTCTGCGTCGCGCGCCGCCGCGGCCGGGCCCGGGGCGACGACAAGCGGTACGCGCGCGTCCCGCGCGAGGAGCACGCGAACCCCTTCGGCGCCCAGGAGCTCGTCGGCATGATGGACGACGACCCCGAGGACGGCAAGGAGGCCTGGTAAGGTTCGGCGAGCCGTCGCGACCTCGGGCCGTCTGGACGCAGTCCGACCCCCGGCGGGGGGCTGTCCTGGGACCCCCGGCGAAAGGCTTGCCACAGGCATGGGGGCCAAATAGCTTGTTCCGCCGCTGCACGTTCGGGACGCCCTCGTCGTCGAGGTACGCCTTCACGGCGCGCGTGTCGCAGTCGACGCCGCCCGCGACGCACGCGCGCGCGAGCTCGGCGACGTCGTAACCGCCTCCCAATGGGCCACCGCGGCGCTTTGGCGCGCGTCGCGCTCTGCGCGCTGACGACGACGAGCTGCCAGCGCTGCGCCGAGGCGGACCGGAGCGCGCTCTGGAGCTCCCTCGAGGGCGCCGTTCGCCGCTTCGCGCCGCCCGACGTCCTCGCGGCCGCGGACCAGATCGGCGCGACGCTCAACCTCATCGCCGGCGAGCGGCCGCCGCGGCGCGCGCCGGAGCTTCTAGATTTACTCCTCCTGCGCGCGCTCGACAAGAACGAGACGTCGGCGGCGGCGCTCGAAGACGAGATAGCGGACGTCGACGACGCGCGCGCGGTGCGCTGGGCCTGGCGCCACGCGTCGTCGGCCTACGGCTACGCGCAGCTCAAGGTCCTAGGCCTCCTGCCCGGCGTCTTCCCGCGGTCGCTCGGCGACGCGTCGCCGGAGCGATTGGACGCGGCGTGCGTGCGCGCGCGCTGCGGCGGCGCGCAACTTTATCACGGCGCGTTCAAGAGCAACATGGCCGCGGACGTCGCCGCGCCGGGGTTCTACGTGGCCTACGACGACGAGCGAAAGAAGGTCGTCGTCTCCGTGCGCGGGACGGCGTCCGCGGGCGACGCGCTCACGGACCTGGTCTGCGAGGCGACGCCGTGCCGCGGGGGGTCGGCGCACGCGGGCATCCTGGGCGCCGCCGAGGCCGTGCTCGCGGGCGCGGAACCCGCGGTCCTCGCCGCGCTCGGCGACCACGGCGACGCCAACGGTTTGGTCTTCACGGGCCACTCCATGGGCGGCGGCGCGGCCTTGCTGTGCGGGTTGTTGTTGCGCGACGGCCGCGACGGGCCGGGCGTTCGGCTCGCGGCGGCGCTCCGGGACCGGGGGCTGGGCGTCGACGTGGTCGCGTTCGCGCCGCCGCCCGTCGCGACGGCCGACGCCGCCGCGGCGCGGCCGGGCGACGTCGCCGTGCGCTGCCGCTCCTACTGCGTCGGCGACGACGTCGTGCCGACGCTCTCGCTCCACAGCGTCCTGGGCCTGCTCGACGCGCTCGACGCCATCGACGGCGCGCTCGACGTGCCCACGCGGCTCCACCTCCTGTCCCAGCGCGCGTCGAAAGCCGCGGCGGCGTCGCTGCTCGACGCCGTGGGCCTCTTCCCCGGCTCCGCGGCCGAGGCCGCGCGCGACTCGGAGCGCGCGGAGGAGGACATCCACGCGACGCTCCGCCCCGTGCTCGCGGCCGCGCGCCGGGGCTTCGATCCGCCGGCGACAGCGCCGGCGCTCGTCGTGCCCGGCGGCGTGCTCCGCGTCGCGCGGTCCGGGCTCGCGGCGATGGACCCGGACCGGCCGCTCCTGCGGCTCCGCGACGCCGCGGTGCTCGACCACATGCCCACGGCCATGGACGCGGTCCTCGACAAGCTCGTCGCCCAGGCCGACCTCGTCGACGGCGGCGACGCGCCGCCCGCGAAGCGGCCGCGGTTCTAGAGGGTACTTTTTTACGCGGCCGAGGGGAACCGGTTCGCGGGCCCCTCGGGCGCGGCGGGCAGCGGGCTGTGCTTCGGCGACCGCGGCGGCGCGGCCGGCGTCTCGCCGTCGCGGCGGCTCGGCGACGCCGCGGGCGACCGCCGCGGCGACTCGAAGAGGCCGCGCTCCGTCGCGCGGCGGCTGATGGGCAGCATGCCCCCGGCGGACTTGGGGATGGCCTCGTAGAGGCCCTCGATGCGCCGCTCGTCCTCGACGTCCGCGCGCAGCTGCATCTTGCGCTTCTCGGCCGTGATCGCCTCCCGGAGCAGCTTCGCCGTCGCGCCCGTCCGCGGCGACAGCTCCGCGACGACGCGCAGCGGCCCGCCGCCCCAGGAGTCCGTGCCCGTGGACCCCGTCTCGAGGCGGTAGAGCGGCGCGGACCGGCGCACGGCCTCGCTGTCCGTCGCCGCGTGCGCGTTCTCGCGCCGGTTCGGCTCCACGCGCGCGCCGACGATGGACGGCCGCACGGAGATCGTCGACCGGTACTTCTCGTCGGAGATGACGTTGGGCGTGAAGAAGGAGTTGTCCCAGCCCGGCCGCCCCGCCGTCGGCCCGGACCGCCGGGGCTCCGGCGCCTCGACGTACGCGTAGATCGCGTTCCGCTCGTGGTGCGCGTCGTAGCCTAGGAAGCAAAACTATGCAACCCGACGTCAATGGGCGCGTCATCGAACGGATTGGGACGCTTCGGCGCTCCGTCGAGCGCTCGACGAGAGCGAACGACTCGTCCAAACATCGGCCGATTCGACCGAGTTCTTCTGAAGTCTGGTCAGGACCCCCGGAACCAGTGGGTGATTTCCGGCACGGGTCGTCGCGGCCGCCGCTGCCGAAGCTGCCGAAGGAGTTGCCGTGCTGGCGCGTGCGGTCCGGCCGGTCGAGGCGCCTGCGCAGGTCCTCGCCGACCTGGGACCGCTTGTCGAGCGCCGCGGAGACGCAGGCGACGTAGGGGTCGTAGGCGTCGACGGACGCCGCGAGCTCCTCGAGCGGCGGCCGGCGCCTGCCGGCCGCGCGGAGCGCGCCGTAGTCGAGCGACGCGTCCGCCGCGGGGTCCGGCGCCGGCGCGCCGCCGAGCAGGTCCCGCAGCGCCGCGGGCCGCAGGCCCACGCGGCCGGGCCCGGAGACGCCGTCGATGGCGACGCCGTCGCGCGCGGCGCGCTTCGCCGCGGCGCGCGCGCGCGACCGCCGCCGCGCCTTGCGGTCCTTCGAGAGGTCGAGCGTCGCGTGCGCGTGGAGCCGCGGCAGGCTCCAGGGCCGGTGGCGCCCGCTGTCGAAGTCGAGGCCGCCCGCGACGCGGCTCGCCGTCTCGACCTGGCTCAGGTAGGGCGCGAGGCTCGGCGCGTCGTCGGCGTCGCCCGCGGCGCCGCGCGGCGCCCCGGGCGCCGCCGACGCCGATTTGAAGCTGTACATGGACGTGAGCGACTTGGCCGCGCCGAGCCGGTCGATGGAGAGCGACCCGCCGAACATGTCGAGCTGCTTCTCCGCGAGACCGCGGCGCGGGCTCCGGCCGACGGCGTCCGCCGCGCGCCGCGGGTCCTCGAGCGCGCGCCTCACGGCGGCGGCGACGTCGCGCGCGTCGTGGACGGACCCGTCGCGCGCGAGGAGCTCGCGGCAGGCCTCCGCGAGGAGCGCGGCCTCGAAGTCCGTCGCGTCCGCGCCGCGGTCGCGCCTGAGCGATGCAACGTCGCTTCAACGTGAGCGTTCCGCGCGCGCGCGTTCCAATGAAAGCATCCACGCTTCGGGAGCGTTCCAAGAGATGATCGCTCGTCCAAAAATCAGCCGAAACGAGTGGAACACGGCCGAGAAGCTGGGAATTTCGCACCCTTTTCCTGCCCGGCGGTCGCGCCGCGGCGCGTCGAAGGACTTGGACCGGACGACGTCGGCGGCCGTGAGGCGGCTCGCCTGCGGGTTCCGGTTTTTGGCGACCATGACGCGCTGGTCCTCGAGCTGCTTCTCCGCGAGGAAGGGGTCCAGGAACTCGTCCTCGACGCGCAGCGTCTTCCATCGCCGCCGCTCGTATTCGCCGGGCTCGAGCAGGTGGCAGATGGGCAGCAGCGTCGACTGCGGCGGGTTCGGGTTCAGCGCCGTCATCGCCGAGGCCGGCGAAAGGGATCACGGCGGGAGGCGCGTCGGAGCGCGAGCGGCCGTCTATAGCCGCGTTGGCAGCCGCGGCCGCGCTTTGCCGTATCCTGCGGCCCGGGGAAACGCCAACTGCAACCAGGGCCATCACGACCGGCGCCGCTTTGCGAAGTCTTACTTTGCTCCGGACCGCCGGGACCGCGCCGGATCGCTCCGGGCCGCCGCCGGGATCCTGGCGGCGCCGGCCCTATCATCACGCGCCCGGGCTTACTTGAGCACGTACGTCGCCGTCCGCGGGAAGAGGTCGTAGCGCGGCCCCTCGCGGGGGTCCTCGACGTCCCAGACCTCGTCGTCCGCGTCGTCCGCGTCGACGGTCATCGCGGACCGCACGAGCACGCACCGCTTCGCGGACAGGTCCAGCTCGCGCGCCGTCGCCTCCGGCGGGAGCACGTAGCGCGCCCGGCCCGCGCGGTTGCCGTCGGCGAAGGCGCCGTCGGCGACGAGGGGGCAGAGGCGGCACCAGTCGACGTCGGGCACGTACTGGTGCACGAACCAGAAGGTCGTCTCCGCGTAGCACGGCGGCTGGTCGACGAGGACGACGACGGCCTCGTAGAGCTTCGCGTCCGACGGCCGGCGCCGCCGCGCCGCGAAGCAGAGGTCCTCGCGCCGCCGCTTGTAGTCGTCGGCGTCGTCGACGAGGCGGCGGCGCCGCGGCGGCGGCGCCGCGCGGCCGCGGTCCGCGACGTCGCGGCGCTCCGCCACCAAACGCCGGAGCTCCGGCGACCGGTCGAGGAGCGGACGCCGCGGCTCGAGGCCGACCACGACCCCGTGGCGCTCCTCGTAGCGCTCGCGCGCGCGCTCGTAGGCGACCTCGGCCTCGGCCGCGCCGGGGAAGAGGCCGAGGTAGTCGCTGTTGCCGCCCGCGGCGAACTTGGCCGCGAAGCCGCGGCCCCGGGGCACGACGCCCCGGGGCAGCGCGGGGAGCCACTTTTCTGAGGCCGCGGCTCGCCTCTCCCGCTCCCCCTCCGCCGGCGCCGCCGCGGGCCGCTTCAGGTCCAGGGCCATCATGTAGCAGGGGTACTGGTCCTCGACGGGCGTGTCCGGGAAGGACCAGACGCAGAGGCCCATGACGTCGTCGTCGCCGTCCGCCGCCGCGGCGAGCTCCTCCGGTGACGCCGGCGGCCCCGCGAACGCGGCCTCCGCGGGCCGCTCGCGCTTCCAGCGCCGGAGCGCGGCGAGCGCGCGGTCGCGGAAGCGGAGGCACGCGTCGTGCCAGGGGTTGCCCGGCGGGTTGTAGCGGAGGCAGTTGCCGTAGATGAGCGCGAGGTCGCGCTCGACGGCGGCCAAAGACCCGTAAGCGCCCGCGACGACCTTCCGCCGCATCGTCCCAAAGTCCATGGGCTGCGCGACGACGTCGAGGTAGTCCGTGACCAGGGTGGTATCTACCGGTTCTTGAAACACCCGGTTCGCGTCGCAGTCGCTGAGCCGCTTCACCAATCCGAACAGCGCCTTGCGGAACGCGTAGCACCGCTCTCCCCGCGACGCCGCGGGCTTCGAGGCGCCGGCTTCCCCGGCGTCGGCCGCGGCGTGGCGCGCGAGGACGCCGACGCGGACGAAGCCCAGCGCCTCGTAGAAGGGCACGGCGCCGTCCGTCGCCTGGAGGACGACGTAGTCGTAGTTGGGCCGTTCCCGCCGGAGCGCCTCGAGCCCGAGCGCGAGCAGCGGCGCGCCGGCGCCGAGGCCGCCCAGCAGGCTCACCTCGGCGACGGTCGGGAAGACGACGCCCTCCGTCTCCGGGTCGCCGGCCCGGGGCTGGCGCTCGAGCGCCTCCGCGAGCGCGCCGCCGTCGACGGCGCGGTCGCGGACGTCGTCGGCCGTGATGCCCGCCTTGGGGCTTTTGGAGTCGAAGCGCAGGTAGGGCGCCCAGGTCGTGAACGTCGTCATGACGAGGAAGCCCTGGAGCCAGCCCTCGGCTTCGGTCCGCACCTCGTAGCCCCACATGGGGTCGTCGACGTCGAGCCGGTCGCACATGTACTCGAGCATGAGGGGCTTGGCGTCGTGGGGCGCCGCCGGCGGCGGGCCGCACGCGCGGCCCCGGCCGCGCCAGGCCGCCTCGCCGCAGAGCGTCAGCATCTCCGCGAGATCGCTCGAGAACGTCTCGCGGCTCCGCGCCTCGGGCACGGTGACGACGACGGAGCCCGCGAGGTCGCGGGCCGCCGACGGCACGACCTCGAAGTCGTAGGGCACGCTCGCGAGGGCGGGCCGCGCGTGGCGCGTCGCCATCATCTCGAGGTCGTCGCGCGCGAGCCGCGGCGCGTCGCCGCGCGGGCTCCGGCCGCCGGCGGCCGCCGCGCGCCGCGGGAACGCGGGCGAGCCGCCGCCGACGGACCGCCGCCGCGGGCTCGCGGCGGCGCCGTCGCCGGCCGTGCGCTGCCGCTTCGCCGCCGGCGACGGCGCCGGCGCGGGCGCCGGCGCGGGCGGCGCGCGCGGCGCGGGCGGCGCGGAGACCGCGGCCGCGAAGCGGTGAGCCGTCGCGGGCGGCGCCGCGGGCCGCGCCGGCGGCGCCGCGGGCTCGACGGGTTGCGCCGCCGGCGCCGGCGGCGCTGGCGCCGCGGGCTTCACGGGCTGCGCCGGGGCCGTGGGAAGGTTGTTGTTTTGCTTGTTCGCGAAGGGCTCGCGCGCGGGCGGGCTCTTCTTCTTGAAGAACGAGAAGAGGGACTGCTGCTTCATTTCCGAGGATGCCTTCGCGTGTGTCGGCAAGGGCCGAAGACCGCGCGTCGGGCTGGTGCCAGGTCGAGGCAGGCTCAGTCTGCGCCCATGCGATTTGAATCACCGGCCCCGGGTCAAGCTTCATCAACATCGTTTGTCGCGGCCCGCCTAGGAATTCCTAGCAGGCCTCCTAGACCTTCCTAGGCCCCTCCTTGGGCACCATGTCGGCGATGCCCCATTTTAACGGGCCACTCCCCGCGCACCCACCCCCCCCTCAGGGCGAGGTCAGGCGCTGGGCCTGGTGGTTCGCGTCGCGGACCATGAGGAGGAAGTCGCTCATCTGCTCCACGGAGAGCGTGAGCGTCGCGGCGTCGTCGCGGGGCGCGGCGCCGCGGCCGTCGCCGGCGCCGTCCGCGGCGAGGCGCAGGGTCACGTAGTAGACGGGGACGAGCTTCGGCGCGCCGTCGGACGCGCGGACGACGTAGTCGAGGCGCCAGTCGAGGCCCGCGAGCCGCGGGAGCGGCGCGGCGCCGACGGCCGCGAGCGCGGCGCGGAGGTCCGCGCGGCGGCCGCCGTAGGCCTCGCTCCCCGCCGCGCTGCCCGCGGCGTCGAGGCCGCCCTCCTCGAGGGCCGCGGCCGCCGCGGCGACGCCCGCGTCGACGCGCGCGAGGTCCAGCTCCGCGGCCGTCGCCGCCAGCGACCCCTGGGCGTGCCACGCCGCGGCGCCCGCCGCCCCGGAGCTCCGCGCGAGCGCCGCCGCGTCGTAGAGCTCCGACATGGACGCCATCGCGGCGGCGGGCGCGGCCGGCGGATGGGCTGCCTCTCGCACCGGCGGCGGCCGCTCTCCGGTCGGCTCGTGCAACCCGTTAGTCCGTTAGGGCGTTATTGGCCTCGGACGGTCGCCCGCTAACGGGCGTTAGGTCGTTATTGGCTTTTTAAGGATCGGGTGGCTGGGTGTTATGGGTGTTATCGAGAATTTTCGCCAGGGTGTTATTGATTTTGAAAAATCGAGTGGCTGCCATCGGCAGGGTGTTATTAGTGTTATTTGATTGGCTAGCTAGGGTGTTATCGCGTTATTGCTAACTAGCTGTAACGGGTTGCACGAGTCTACTCCGGGCTCTGCTGCTGGGTGCAACTTTACTTGCGAAAGCCAACGTTAACATCTCGAGCCAACGTTAACATCTCGCGCCAGACGTCGATCGCCTCGAGGCGCGCCAAGGTCGATCGCTTCGAGGCGCGCCAACGTTAGCATCTCGCGCCAACGTCAACTTGCGACGCCAGGATCGACCTCGCCTCGAGCCTTACTCCGTAGGAGGGCGCGCGCGCCGCTTGTTCGGCGCGCGGGGAGGCGTGCGCGTCGGTCGCGCGCGCCGCTTGTTCGGCGCGCGGGGAGGCGTGCGCGTCGGGCGCGCGCGCCGCTTGTTCGGCGCGCGCGCGGGGGAGGGGGGGGGGGCGCCGCGCGCCTCGCGCGTCGTCGACGGCGGGCCTAGCAGTCGCAGTCGCCGACGTCGCGGAAGGTGCCGAAGCGGAGGCGGCGGCGGCGGCCCGCGCAGACCGCGGCGCAGTCGACCGACGGCTCGGCGGACGGCGCGGCGGACGGCGAGTTGTCCTGCTCGAAGCCGCCGTCCTGCTCGACGATCGTCTCGGGGTCGCCGCCGCCGACCGGGGCCGTGTCGAGGTCGTCGGAAGGCTCCAGGGGGTCGTCGGACGGCTCCGACACCTCCTCGCAGGCGCCGTCGTCGCACTCGAAGGACACGACGCCCGAGAGGCAGGAGCCGTCGGCGCACTCGAGGACGACGGTCGCGTCGACGCCGCGAGCGGCCGCCCCGCAGAGGGCCCGCCCCTTGTCGTCGACGAGAACGCCTAGACCACATCCTCATCTCGCGTGTCCGCGCTACTTCCCCAGCTCGCTGCGGGGGAGCACAGGACGCCAAGGACACTCCCCC